AACATATGATAAATGCAGATTTCAAGTAGTCGTCGCGAAAAAATATATACAATGTATTCAAATGAGAATGAATGTATTGGGGAGTAACTTTTAGAAGATCAGAGAAAATGAGTTAGAGAAGATAGAACTATAACTTCAGATACAAAAAAACAAATATAATTTACACAGGTTCTATAAATTCTGTACAGGTATAATATATCATTTTTTTTATAATTCGATACAGATCAAAACATTTAACGTTTTCTTTATTGACCTCAGTGAGACTTCTATTAAGACTACAGAAATTGCTTTAATTATTTAAAAAATTGGGATTATATTTCTTCCATTGTGTATAATAAATTACTTTTCTTAATATTTAAGATAATGTCAGCGATAGTAAAGGACTTGATCAAAATGATGAAGAAAATTCTGATGATAATCATGATGAAGAGGATTTTAGTAAACACAATAATAGAATAAAGATGGAAGAAGTTAAACGAAGCAAGCTGGTGATTGCAAAAAATCTTCAGGTAATAGTATTAATAATTATTTGTATTCTAACTATTCTAATAATATTTTGCATATAAAAGATGAAATAAAAGCTAAATATTCAGCAAAGTATTGCAAATTTTGTCCAGAAAACAAATGGAAATTACCTACTGAAAAGTTCATTAAAGATATTCTTTATGAATATACAATAAATTTGGATCATAAAAGGTAGACATTTAAGGCATTCATAGGGTTTGTTATAATTACAATCTAATTATAAAGTTATGCTCTTAGCTATCTACACAGTTTTATTATTGACACAAGTGATGAAATGATAATGAATTTTTTCAGTGAATCTGACCAGCAACCAGTGTTGTCATGAGATATTGATGAGACACTGACAGGATATAGATAGGATAGATAGGACATTTAAGACATAATGTGAGACAGATTAGGATATATAGTTAGAACAACAAATCTCTGGATAGACATCACTGCTAGCAACACATCAGAGAGTGTAATATTTCTTCAAAACTACAAGTAGATGATATTTTGCTAGATTTTCTTTTACTCTACTGACAAGTGAATATAATCAATTACTACCGCTAATATATAGTAATGCATATAAACTATTATGTTACATTTGTGTCCTTTAGAATAATCCTTAAAATCTGCATAGGGTAATCAATATCAATATAAATTTATTATCTTATAATCCATAAGGAAATTATGATTATTATTATGTTTATGAATTTTTTTATCATTTGGGAGTGATCAGTAAAAAAAGGGGAAAATCCATTTTTTAATCAAAATTTTTTTATTGATTCATTCTGCTGATCATGGTTATGTAAGTAAAACTAGCTTAATAACTAAAAATATTTAAAATTTATGATTTCTCCCTTTTCTATTGACTGCCTTCCATTTGTGAGTATTAATAAAAATTTTTGTGCATTTTTAATATTATTTGAATTAAACTTGTTATTATATTCCTCTAAAAATAAGCAACATATTTTTGCTATATTGATTATTTTCAGATATGTTTGACAAATTTACGATATACAATCTAAAATTCTGCTAATTCATTAATAAATTCTGTGATTATTAATCATATTAATCATTAAATATCATGTAAAATCGTGAAAAAAATATTTTATTCAGCTAAAATATTACATTCTATAAAAAAAGAATTGTTAAATGAAAGGTTATTAAAGTTAATGTTTCAAAACCAGTTTTTAGTTTTTAGTTTCAGCTTATTTTAATTAGAAACTGATTTGGAAAATTTTTCTTAAAAAATCCAGTTACTGGTTTTTTATATAAAACCAGTTTGTTTTAAAGACCAGTTTGTATTACAAGACTGGTTTATATTTTTAATATATAATTAGTTTAATTATGATAAATATATTATAATAAAATATAAATTTTATTATAATTATATCAGTGTTCATTCTAATCTAACATATTTATATTCTTTTATATATATATAGCATTGCATATTGCATATTCGATTTTTTGTTCCTCTTTCAAAAAATGAAAGATCTATCTAATAAAAAGCGAAAAAGAGAAAACTCAAGCATTATTTAGAACTAGAACTCTGAATCAGTTCAGATCAACCTGTTTATCTAACCTGACCTGACCTGAAAATCCAGATCAGATTAGTAGATTTTCAGGTTAATATCAGGTTAGGTCAATAGGTCGAACTGATCTGATCTGACTTGACAAAATTTAGGTCAACAAATTATCATTCTTGAATGATGTTTTATCATTCAATTAAAATGATTTGTTATCATTCTTGAATAATAGTTTTATTATTCAAGAATGATATTTTTATAATCTAAGAATAATATTTTATTATCTGAGAATGATGTTTTTATCGTTTAAGAATGATAATTTTATCATTTAATTAGAACGATTTATTATCATCTGAGAACGATAATTTTATCATTCAAGAATGATGATTTTATTATTCAAAAATGATAATTTATCATTCAAGAATGATGTTTTATTATTCAATTAAAATGATAATTTATTATTTAAAAATGATAGTTTTATCATTCAAGAATGATGATCTTATCGTTCAAGAATGATAGTTTTATTGTTCAATTAGAATAATTCATTATTGTTTAATTAGAATGATTTATTATCATTTTTGAACGATAGTTTTATTATTCAATTAGAATGATTCGTTATCATTTGAAAATAATAATTTTATCATTCAAAAATGATGATTTATCATTCAAGAATAATGATTTTATCATTTAAAAATGATGGTTTTATCATTCTTAAATGATAGTTTTATCGTTCAATTAGAACGATTCATTATCATTCTTAAATGATAGTTTTATCATTCAATTAGAATGATTCATTATCATTCAAAATAATGATTTATCATTTAAGAATAATAATTTTATTGTTCAAAAATAATGATTTATCATTCAAGAATGATAGTTTTATTATTTAAAAATAATGTTTTATAATTTGATCAGATCAGATCAGGTCAGATCAAATAAAAATTTAAATCAGGTCAGATTTTTGTTTGACCTGACCTGATCCTTTCAGTTCAGGTAATTTGATTGACCTGACTTGAACTGACCTATTTAGAGTTCTATTTAAAACTATTTTTTAAGAAGTATAACAAGAAAAAGTAGCAACTATATCTTATTTGTCAAATATGTAAAAATAACAATATTATTAAATGCTATAAATAGTCAAAAAATATGTCAACTTTTACTACTTAAGATCATCTTTGATGAGATTATAAAATTAATAAAGATCATCCAGAAGAACCTGAAGCTATAAATGGTGATATTAGAGATACTATAAAATATATCACTATGAAATATCAACTATATCTTAAAGAATTACTTATCCCATTTATTATTCTTGATTGTCAACCATTGAATATCTTTCAAAATAATGCATTTTGAGAAATACTTTATAAATTTAAACTGGGATTTAGGATACTAACTGAAGAGCAATATAAAAAAATGATATATTAATGGTTACAAATAGTCAAAAGATCAACTTTTGAAGTTAATAAAATCAAGTGCAAACAGTATTAATTTTATGACAGACATGTGAACATTCTACTTAAATAATATTTATATTAGTGTAATAATTTTGTGATTAGATCAAGAGATAAAATTATATGAAGTATTAATCAATATGAAGCTGTTATTTAACTCTCATACTGCTAAAAATATCAAGGACTATTTGAAAAGTATTCTTGAAGAGTGGAATTTAAAAGAAATATGTTTTGCAGCTATAATAGATAGTAGCATAAATATCAAAAAGCAATTTGTTGATGAACAATATTACACAAATAAGTTATGCTGCACATATATTATATCTTAATATTACAAAGACTTATAATTAATTAAGCAATTTATTAAAAAAGTTAATAATATTATTTTTTTTTACTTTTAGTCCAAAATAAAATGAACAATTAAAAAAAGCATAGAAAGAACAAAGATTTTTAAAAATACTTGAAATAATTAAAGACATTCATATAAGATAGAATAGTATGTATCTAGCTTGAAAAAGATTATTAGAAATAAAAGTAGCTATACAATGGCTTGCGAATACTTTACATTTAATATATATAAAAAATGATAAGGATAATGGTGATTATTTAAAGTTAATTGTGTTTACAGAAAATAAGTAGAAATGAGTATTTATTGTTATTTTTTTTAATAATTTAATTTTTATTTTTTAATTGAAACATTTTCATATTTGAAGTACAATAATAGTAACAATAATCTATTTTACTAAAAAATAGTTTGTTACAAGATTTAGTAAATCTTTTAAAATCATTTTTTGATGTAATGAAACTTTTATCAAATTCAAAATATATCACTCTTAATTTCGTATATTTAACATATATTTTTAATGGAAAAATTTTCGATAAGCAATAAATCTGATAATGAATTATTTGATTTGATTTATAATTCTAAACATGAAGATAATACAACATAATATATTATATTAAAGAATCTCTTTAATGAATTTTTTATAAAAATTTATTTTTTTTTACTTATTTAAAATATTTTTTCATAATTTTAATTTATTAATTTACTCAAAAAATTTTTTTTAAAGATGTCAAAGCAAATGTTAATAATATACAAAATAGAAATCTACCAATAGTTGATAATGAAGGTAATGAAACAAGTTCAGATGATAAACTTGTACAAAATTCAATAGTAGAACAAAGACTTATTAGAAACTTACTAAAAGGAACAATAGGGAGAGGATAAAGGAGAGGAAGAGAAAGAAAGGGAGAAGGCAGAGGCAGAGGCAGAGATGAAGAAAGATGAATAAATGTAGATTTTAGATTTTGAAACAGAAGAATCATTGAAGCTCCAGTTAATACTAAACTTCTGGAAAAAGTCAAAGCCGCTTGTTATTTATTCATGAAAAAATATTGGAATATGATAAAATATTTGCGAGATCACGTTTTATCTAAGTGGCTTTTTTTTGGGCGATCTAATGATTAATCTTGTAGTTATTAATTATTATTCTTCAAATCAATAAACAAAATGTCAATTTCACCAATAAATTTTCCAAAATGGCTGGAAGAACATAGTGACAAATTACAACCACCCGTTAACAATTCTATATTACAGCATAATGACGATTTTATTATTATGGTCGTTGGAGGTCCTAATGCTCGAACCGATTATCATATTAACCAAACAGAAGTATGGGATTTTTTTTTAAAGGTTTATTGTTTGAATTTAAGTTCATTTCTATTTATATCTATAAAAGGAATGGTTTTACCAGTATAAAGGAGAAATGTGCTTAAAAGTTGTAGATAACGGGGAATTTAAAGACATTCCTATTGGAGAGGGCGAAATGCTATTATTGCCTGGTAGGTTGTTATTAAAGGAAAATAAAAAAAAAATTCTTTGGAAAATTTATGTTAATATTTTTCTTTAATCGATTAATTTAAAAGCTAATACACCACATAATCCCATTCGGTTTGCTAATACGGTTGGTATCGTAATCGAAAGGCGTCGAAGACCGGAAGAAATTGGTAAATCAACGAGATCACTTTTTTTTTTTTCTTTTTGAAAATATTCTTTATTTAACTTCTCTCCCTTTCCGTCTTGATCTTTGAAGATCGACTTCGATGGTATTGTACACAATGTAAAGAAATAATTTATGAAGAATCATTTCATTGTACAGATTTAGGTACACAACTTAAACCTATTATTGAAAAGTACTCCGCTAATGAAGATTTAAGAAAATGTAAATCTTGTGGACTTATTAATCTTGCCAAGTAATTCGATTGGTGGATTGGAATGAGAATCAGATTATATCATTTCGTTTCATATGTTTGTGTATATATATATATTTATATATATTTAATTAATAAAAACATTTAGCAACTATTAACTGATGAGTCGGATCGATCAAAGTGATAATACATTGATTTATCAATAAACTTTTTCCTTTATAGCTGGAAATGCTTGTTAAATTACATGTCATATTCACAATGTTATGTAGATTTAAACAATTTGGGATGGTGCAATTTGAAGTATTATGTATGTTTTAATACCAAAAATTGAAAAGATTAAAAGTGTTAGAATTAATGGTCTTTTAACTAGAAAAGGAGTTTAAAGGATTTATTAATATCAATAAATGATAATAATGAAAAATTGTTAATTAGTTAAAAAATTGTTAGCATTGATAATACATTAAAATAATTTAATAGTTCATATATAATAATAATATAAATTTTAGAATTTATTTATTTTTTTTTTATAATTTTATTTCTTAAAATTAAAAGATCAATAAACTAAAAATTATAATTTTATATACAATTCATTTTAGTATAATCATATCATTATTTATTATTTTAACTTATATTATTTAATTATAATAAATTTTTTTTAGTATTAAATTTATAAATTACATAAATATAAAATTATAAGTTCATTATTTATATTTAGTTAAATTATCAAATATATAAAATTAAAAAAATTCTTTTTAAAATTTGAAAAATAATATGATAACTTTATATTTTTTAATAGCATACTTTACATATTTTGTATTAAATCTTTTTTATAATACTTTTTTATAAGTATTTATATATTTAAAAAACTTTTATATATAATTTTAAATTTGAATAATATTAGATTTATAATAAAATTTAAAATTAAAAAGTAATTTTAAATTTTTAAATATTATATAATTTAAATTAAATTTATCTTATTATATAATATGCAAAATTATTAAGTAAAACTTTTCTGATTATAGAAATGTTATTTATAACATTTTATATGAATTGCATTAACATCAATAATAAGAATATTTGAGGAAAAAATGATTTTAATTAAAATAAGAATAGCAAAAAAATGAAAATATAAAAAAAAAATAATAAATAAAATATTGATTTTAAAAAATTGTATAAATAATTTATTATTATTAAACATATATTTTCTATTAGAAAAGAAAATAAAGATTTAAAATAATTAATAAATTATAAGATGATAATGATTTATTAATTAGAATATTTTCTGATAAGAAACTTTATCTTTTAAAAATAGATAAATGTTACTATTCTCTAAAAAATAATAAAACAAGTAAAACAGATAAATAAAATATATCAAAAAAAATCATTATTAGAGATTTGAGTTGATATTCTAATACTATAAATAATTCATTAATT